CTAAAGTTCCTAGGAAACCAGAGGCCTTACAGCCTCTTCACTGCTGTTTGAGATGGAACAGAAAAATGCAGACTAGTGCTTTCTGCTACAAATCTCATCTCTCCAGGCTAAAGTTGCCAAGGAACATGCCATCACTGCAACTACTAAAAACACAACGCATAATGAAAGGCATCTTCTGCAAATGAATCTGTAAATACGGAATCGACCACAGAGGTTGACAATTTGATTCTGTTCTCTGCAAGGAGTTAGAATTTCACTTGGAGGGCCACTAGGACCACTGTATTAATTATGTGTATTCTATTGGGTTTTTGTGTTTGTTTGTTTTTGAGATGGAGTCTCATTTTGTCACCCAGGATGGAGTGCAGTGGCTCAGTCTCGGCTCACTGCAACCTCCCAGGTTCAAGCGATTCTCTTGCCTCAGTGTCCTAAGTAGCTAAGACTACAGGTGCTCACCATCACACCCAGCAAATTTTTGTGCTTTTAGTAGAGATGGGGCTTCACTATGTTGGCCAGGCTGGTCTTGAACTCCTGACCTCAGGTGATCTAACCACCTTGGCCTCCCAAAGTGCTGAGATTACAGGTTGTGAGCCACTGTGCCCAGACCTATTCTATTGTTTATACTCAATTTTCAGTTGAGGAAAACAGAATCAGAGAAGTTTAATAACTTGGCCAAGATGGCAGAGACAACAGTGACTCCAGGGTTTCAACCGCAGCTCCTGCTCTTAGGGGTTGCTTTGGAGAGACTGGGTTTGAGGTGCCCAAGGCCATGCTAGGGGAGAGAGATTCTCTAGGAGTTATTTGGATAAACTAGTTCAAGGCTCAAGAGAGATCCTTAGCTCGTGACACAGATTTGGGAATTATTCTTGTATTGGTAGCACTTAGAGATTCAAAGTGGATCAGCTCATTCACTTGTCATCTTGTGGGGCCTAGAATTGTTTCCATGTCTAAACTGTCCTGCCCATGACAGCCATGCTCCCCAGCTGGCTCTCACACCCTGCTCTTTCCCAGGAGTGCCTGGCTTCGAAGGAATGCTTAGGGAGCCCCTCCTTTCTGCAGGTGTTGAGGTCCATCTCCAGCCCTACTGGATCAGGTGGCAAAACTTGTCTTTCCTGCCTTTAGTGCCTGACACTCTCAGGGACACAGCTTGTGGGTAACATTCTAAGCACTTGCCCATCCAATAAATATTGACTGAGTACCTTCATGTGCCAGACAAATCTAGGTACTGAGGATACAACTGTGAGCAAAGTCGACCAGGTCCCTGGACCCAAGGAGCAAGCTTGTAGTCTAGAGGCAGGAGGCAGGAGCAGGCACACACGTTACAATGTTGCTAGGAGTCATAAGAAAGGCACAGCTGGGCCAGGCGTGGTGCTCATGCCTGTAATCCCAGCATTTTGGGAAGCCGAGGCAGGTGGATCACCTGAAGTCAGGAATTCAAGACCAGCCTGGCCAATATGGAGAAACCCCATCTCTACTAAAAATACAAAAATTGGTCGGGCGTGGTGGCACATGCTTATAGTCCCAGCTACTTGGGAGGCTGAGGCAGAATTGCTTGAACCCGGGAGGCAGAGGTTGCAGTGAGCTGAGATCGTGCCGCTGCAGTCCAGCCTGAGTGACAGAGAGAGAGAGACTGGCAAACAAACAAACAAACACCACCACCAACAACAACAAAGGGAAAGAAAGAAGCAAGGAGGAATCTCAGACAGCAATGGCAGAGCATGAAATCAAGCGTGGTGGTACCCTTCTGTACCTGAACAGGCCACGGCCCATGAAGCCTCCGTGGAGTCCCTAGAAGATGAGGCATTCGAATTCCAGCCCCTCCTTCATCCCAGGAGGAGCTGAGCCTCACAGGCTCACCTGGCCCACAGGGTAAAGATGGGGGATTTCAGGTTTTTTCTTTTTTCTTTCTTTCTTTTTTAAGACAGAATTTAGCTCTGTTGCCAGGCTGGAGTGCAGTGGTGTAATATCGGCTCACTGCAACCTCCGCCTCCCAGGCTCAAGCAATTCTTCTGCCTCAGCCTCCTGAGTAGCTGGCACTACAGGCACCTGCCACTACCCCCAGCTAATTTTTGTGTTTTTGGTAGAGATGGCATTTCACCATGTTGGCCAGGATGGTCTCGATCTCTTGACCTTGTGATCTGCCTGCCTTGGCCTCCCAAAGTGCCTGGATTACAAACATAAGCCACTGTGCCTGGTCTCGGTTTTCTATTTTGATGAAAATGTTGCAGTTTGGACAGTGTTGCAAGACAAACACAAAGTATGTAGCCAATTGCACTGACTTTTGATAGTTCTTTTATACTTCAGACAGCTTTGGAGTTTCCTTCTCTTGGGGAGGTTTGGGGTAAGGGTGCCTTCTCCTCCATCCCACAGCAGGGTTAACATCTGAGCAGGTGTAATATTTTACTGGACTGATATCACTGGTTGGAGTCAAGAATGTTTAAATCCGCATATTATGTCAGATACCATTTCTTTTTTTTTTTTTTTTTTGAGACGGAGTTTCGCTCTTGTTACCCAGGCTGGAGTGCAATGGCGCAACCTCGGCTCACCGCAACCTCCACCTCCTGGGTTCAGGCAATTCTCCTGCTGCAGCCTCCTGAGTAGCTGGGATTATAGGCACACGCCACCACGCCCAGCTAATTTTTTGTATTTTTAGTAGAGACGGGGTTTCACCATGTTGACCAGGATGGTCTCGATCTCTTGACCATCGTGATCCACCCGCCTTGGCCTCCCAAAGTGCTGGGATTACAGGCGTGAGCCACTGCGCCCGGTGTCAGATACCATTTCTATCAAACTACTTCTCCCTAATCTAAGGCTCTTACCTCACGATTAACACTGGTCGTCTGACCTTAGTAAACCATTTACCCTCCCTGAACTTCAGATTTCCTCATCTGTAAAATGGAGATAATTATACTTATATTCACAGAGACACTGTGAGGATTAAATATATGAAAAGCTATTTAAAGAGTTTTAAGGTCTAGACAAATGCCAGCTCGTGTTAGTGCAAACCTGCTCAGCAGTTGCTTGGTTGGTAGGATGGGGCATCTCAGAACAGGGCAGCTTGACAGATACCTCCCTTGGTGCTGGCCAATCTCTGGGCTCCGGTGTATTCTGAACAATCAACTTCTGATCTAACTTCAGTTTCTCAAGTAGCTTCCCTTCCTGGGGAGATCCCCTCAGCTTGTCAGTTAAGTTTCAGATCACAGATCAATAATCTTGCTTTGGGGGCATGGGGTGGGGAAAAATAAAAGAAAACCAAAATAATCTTGCTTTACAATCCAGACCCTTGTGAGCGGGACTGACTTTATAGCTTTAACAGTCCTAGTGAACTGAGAACAATCCAGACCCTGCAAATGAGGGTGGATTGAAAGCAGGTAATCATTCTTACTCATTTCTCAGTACCTAATGCACTTGAGTAGTACTCAGTAAAATGTGCTAAGGCCAAGCACAGTGGCTCAGGCCTGTAATCCCAGCACTTTGGGAGGCCAAGGCAGGTGGATCACCTGAGGTCAGGAGTTCAAGACCAGCCTGGCCAACATGGGGAAACCCTGTCTCTAATTAAAATACAAAAATTAGCTGGGTGTGGTGGCAGGTACCTGTAATCCCAGCTACTCAGGAGGCTGAGGCAGGGGAATTGCTTGAGCCTGGGAGGGAGAGGCTGCAGTGAGCTGAGACTGCTCCACTGCACTCCAGCCTGGGCAAGAGACTGAGACTCCATATCAAAAAAAAAAGAGAGAGATAAAAAAATGAAACGAGGCAGCCATGATGCAACATTTAGTGTTTTCACCTGGGAACACCATCAGCACATCTACCTCTTAACCAGGGTTCCCGCATCACAACCTGTAGACCGAATTAGGAAACACAGACAAATCTGCAATGCATCATCGCAGCCGGGCTCTGAAAACAGCAGCTGCAGCCACAAACCAAAGAACAGGCCTTTGTGAACAGAGTGAAAGAAACTGCTTGTCCTGAGCTCATCTTTTAAGCCGGAGAACTCCCTACTCCTGCTAAAGTATGTCTTTAAGCCAAGATAGGAATTAATTACATAAAAGTAGGATGTCTTAGTACATTAGATTTTCCCTTTCTCGCTAAGTTTCCAAGGCCTAATTTTCCAACCAGAGCACAAGAGAATATGAACTTACATGAAGAGAGGTAGCTGACCCGTTGTCCACAGGTTTGACAGCATTAACAGAGGCCAGGCTCTCCATGAACCACACAAGACCAGGAGATGAATCCCTTTCACAGTGCAAAACCCACTTTCAGGGTGATCGCTGCCTTTAGGAACATGGTTTCACTCCAATAGCTCCAGTGCATCTGTCTCAAACTGTCTCTTGTTTTTCAAACAACATTGAATTTATCTCCTCACCCTAATTACCACTACTTAGGAAGGTAAGTCAGTTTCAGAAACACTTCTCTGTTGGATTCGCATGGAAACCATACAACTTCCTGAGCAGCTTCACACCTGAAGCCACCTTCCAGCCCAGCAAAGCACCCACCCTCCTTCCCCCTTCCTTCCCCTCCCCACTTCCTCTTTCTTTTCTCTCTTTCTGGCTGGAGTGCAATCTCCACTCACTGCAACCTCCACCTACGGGGTTCAAGCGATTCTCCTGCCTCAGTCTCCCCAGTAGCTGGGATTATAGGCACCTGCTACTATACCTGGCTAATTTTTTTTTTTTTGAGACAGAGTTTCACTCTTGTTACCCAGGCTGGAGTGCAGTGGTGCAATTTGGCTCACCGCAATCTCCATCTCCTGGGTTCAAGCAATTCTCCTGCCTCAGTCTCCCAAGTAGCTGGGATTACAGGCATGCGCCACCATGCCTGGCTAATTTAGTATTTTTAGTAGAGATAGAGTTTCTCCATGTTGGTTAGGCTGGTCTCGACCTCCTGACTTCAGGTGATCCACCCACCTCAGCCTCCCAAAGTGCTAAGATTACAGGCATGAGCCATGATGCCTGGCCCACCTTTCTTGCATTAAGCATATTAAGAGATACCATTCGGGGCCAGACTCATAGTTGAGACAGTATTTATTTTTTAAGTGGCACTGAGGTCATACATTTTAATCCCCACAACACATTTAACTGTCCTCTGCCCATCCTTAGAGATTCTGAAAATGAAACGTTATGCAAAATCCCTTACAGAGTTCAACTTGGTCTAACAGATAAAAAGTCGAGCTTAGCAGATGTCATTGAAAAGGGATCAGGGGCAGGAAAAGGCTCATCTTTTTAACCTAAGCCCAAAGCCCAAACCAGGTGCCAGAAAGATAGAATAAAAACTGTTCCTATAGCTTTGAAATGCTTTAGGGATGCTGAAGGATAGTCTTTAGAGAATCATTTAAATTAATATATATATATTTTTTCAGACAGAGTATTGCTCTGTCACCCAGGCTAGAGTACAGTGGCCTGATCTCAGCTTACTGCAAACTCTCAAAGTGCTGGGATTACAGGCGTGAGCAGGACTAAGATTTAAAGTGAAGACTAGGATCAATTACTTAACAAGAATACCACATTCTGATGCCCACTATAGCGTCATTTTTGTGTCAGGACAATATCTAATCGGATTTTTCCCAGCTTATTTCCCCTACAACTTAATAGCTCTTCACTAACCTCTGTATGTATTTACTGAAATTGCATAGCTGGGCATTTGTACTCTCCAAAGATTTAATGCAATTACAGTAAAATATAATAATACTTTTTTCCCATGGAAATAAATTGGTGTTTTAAAATTTACAATTCCCATGGATAAAATTTCAGTTATTACAAAATGCTAAGACAGATTGAGATCTCAAAGAAAGAACTTGAGAAAATTATGTTTAAAGGACTTCACAAATATAAAGCACAATTGTTAGAATCCTGATACAAAGTAACTTTTCCTAGGTTTAAGGTTCAAGTCTGATTTCTTGAATTGTTCAACATCGACAGACCTCATTTGTATTCTTTTTATTTTCATTATTACTTTCAGAGACAGGATCTGACTATGTTGCCCAGGCTGGACTCCCGGGTGTGGATCCTCCCTGCCTCAGCCTCCTGAGTGGCTGGGATTACAGGCATGCACCACCATGCCTGGTGCTACAGATGTTTTTGAAAAACGCCCGGAAACACAATGAGCTTGCATCATGTCAGCAGCAGGTGCCGCTCAGCTGGTGCTGGACAGAAGAGGCTTGCGGTATTTGCACTGAATCCAAACCCGGTACATTGTCAGTTGCTTCCCTCGGTTTACCTGCAGGCGCCGATCCACCAGATTCTGAACCTTTTCCAACCCAGCAGTGGTGAAAAGCACATCCAGTTCCTCTAGTATGGTAAAGAAAAGGTGTTATACATTTTCCCCTCAAGAAAAGGCTTTTTTTTTTTTTTTGAGATGGAGTTTTGCTCTTGTTACCCAGGCTGGAGTGCAATGGCGCTATCTCGGCTCACCGCAACCTCCGCCTCCTGGGTTCAGGCAATTCTCCTGCCTCAGCCTCCTGAGTAGCTGGGATTACAGGCATGTGCCACCATGCTCAGCTAATTTTTTGTATTTTTAGTAGAGACGGGGTTTCACCACGTTGACCAGGATGGTCTTGATCTCTTGACCTCGTGATCCACCTGCCTTGGCCTCCCAAAGTGCTGGGATTACAGGCGTGAGCCACCGTGCCTGGCCCAAGAAAAGGCATTTTTATCTACTAAGTCCCTTGTTAAATGGGGCTCTGGGAAGTTGCTGTCATGTTTTTTACGTGGCCATTTGGTTATAAATGCAGTGGTCATTTGGTAACAGCAGTTCATGTTTAGGTAGGGGAAGCCCCCGCAGATGGGCCAAGGGTTTTTCTTTTTTAAAACCTTTGGTTTATATTTGGCCTTTAGGCGCTATGAATACCTTCAAATCATATGCAAAAATCTCTATATATGTATGTCAAAGTAATTGTTAGGAAAGAGGTTTCATCTCTTAACCAAAGGCTCAAAGAAGGTGACCCCAAAAAGAGCCCAGGAATGGAGAATTCCTGAGGCCCACGTGAAGGATGAAGCCTGTGGCCAGGGCCAGTTGCAGAGGAGAGCAGTTCCTGGCACCCCTAGAACCCAGAGGACATGACTCACCCTGGGACCTGGATGCACCAAAGCACAACCCCATGCAGAAGGTGAAATGGGCTGGAATAGAGAGGAGCCTTGCAGAACGGGCAGGCTTCCCATTTTGGACAGCGGCAGAAAGGGAGAGCAGAGCTGGCCTGAAGGAATGGGCAAGGCGGGGCTGCCTGGGGCCCCTGAGTGGCTGGCTGCCATGGTATCCTAGCCCAGGGTGGAGGAGGGGGTGAGCAGTGGGGAACTGCAGGAAACCGCTGGCCTAAAAGGCAGGAGGGGCCAGATAGTTTTCTTTCTGAATGTGCCTTGAAGACCTTCTCATCTGGTATTGGGAACTTTTAGCATAAAAATAAGAGCATTTCATACCTTGCGTGAAGAAGTAAACCCTGGTTCCATCACCTCTCACATAGAAATTTCCAGATAGACACTGACCTGCAGAGTAGTGTGGTAAAAATCAAACACACTTTAAAGTACTCTTTGCCTTACATTGCTAAGGAAATGTTAGCCGAGATGTCAGTTTGCTGGGTGAAGAGCATTCCTGCCTCAGTGCTTGGGGAAGAGCAGCTCAATGGGAAGAAGCTAACTCCAGTGTCAGAAATCATGAGGTTCCTAAGTGTCCCACTCCAAAACTTTAGAATTGTTTGATGAAAACTTATTTACTCTCCCAACCCCATTAAATTAATAGCACAAACTTTTATTTATTTTGAGACGAAGTTTTGCTCTTGATGCCCAGGCTGGAGTGCAATGGCGTGACCCTGGCTCACTGCAACCTCCACCTCCCAGATTCAAGAGATTCTCCTGCCTCAGCCTCCCGAGTAGCTGGGATTAAAGGCACACCACCACAGCTGGCTAATATTTTGTATTTTTAGTAGAGATGGAGTTTCCCCATGTTGGCCAGGCTGGTCTTCAACTCCTGACCTCAGGTGATCCACCTACCTCGGCCTCCCAAAGTGCTGGGATTAAAAGCGTGAGCCACCTCACTGGGCCTATTTTTTGTTTCTTAATTAAGCAATATAGCTGAGTTTAAGGAAACTTGAGATAGCCATTACCATTTTGGTGGTGACTGTCCTTTGCGTGTTTCTTCATGTGTCTACACAATCATAAATACAACAACTCAGATACTCTTTTGATCATGAACATGCTTTCCCTTCTGCTGCTAACCTCCCTGACCTTACCTCAGTTTACTGGCCTGGTAAATACTTTCTAGACCTTCCCAAATGCCCAAATCATCACACATGTGTATACTTATTTCCCTGCAGATACTAGTATTAAGGGATGGAGTTTAAAATACTCTCCCACACACTGCTTCTCTCACTGAGTAATACGGAATGGAAATCCCTCCAAGCTCAGTAGTATAGGGTCTACCTCAGGTGACAAGTACATCTACCTATACAGGGGCATTCACTTTGTTTGCAAAGTTTTGCTCATACATGTATTATATGCTAGTTTTTGACTATATCCAAAAAGACTTGGATTGAGTAACACCTGCGTGCTTAAAAAAAGGCTGTAATGCTGGGCGCAGTGGCTCACGCCTGTAATCCCAGCACTCTGGGAGGCTGAGGTGGGTGGATCACCTGAGGTCAGAAGTTCCAGACCAGCCTGGCCAACGTGGTGAACCCCGTCTCTACTAAAAATACAAATAATTAGGTGGGTGTGGTGGCGAGTGCCTGTGATCCCAGCTACTTGGGAGGCTGAGGCAGGAGGCAAAGATTGTAGTGACCCGAGATCGTGCCAGTGCACTCCAGCCTGGGAAACGAGTGAAACCCCCCCAAAAAAGGCTGTAACAATTTCTATTTCTACCAGCAATGAAGGAATGCACCTCTTTCTTTGAATTGGCCAGCAATAAGAAGTACAAACTCATTATTTTTATTTCCTTGAAGTGTTGTTTATTGGCCATTTAGATATGCTTTTCTGTGAACTGATTAAATATTCCTGTTTTTTGGGACACTCATCTTTTTCTTATCAATTTCATGACAGCTCCTTGAAGAGCAACGATATTAAGTCTTTATTATATGCACTGAAAATATTCCTTCTTACTCTATCATTTGCCTTTTACATTTTTAATGGCATTTTTTGTTATGCTACATTTAAAGTTATTTATGTCTTTCAAATGTCTTTTTTTTTTTTTTTGAGAAGGAGTCAGGCCCTGTCATCCAGGCTGGAGTGCAGTAGTGTGTGATCTTGGCTCATTGCAACCTCTGCCTCCTAGGTTCAAGCGATTCTCCTGTCTCAGCCTCCCAAGTAGCTGGGACTATGGTGTCTGCCACCACACTGACTAATTTTTGGATTTTTAGTAAAGACAGGGTTTCGCCATGTTGACCAGGCTGATCTCAAACTCCTGATCTCAGGTGATCTGCCTGCCTTGGCCTCCCAAAGTGCTGGTATTATATATAGGTGTGAGCCACTGTGCCTGGCTGTCTTTCAAATGTCTTTTTAAAAAAAGCTCTTCTAAAGGTAGCTGTCTTGCTTAAAAAGACCTCAATATCTACATTATATAAGCATCTTTAGTTTTCTTAAAACATGTACTACTGTCACATTTTAAATGGCTTTATATATGGAGCTCTAATTTTAAAGTATCTATTCTGATGGCAGCACCATTTTTTGATTATAGTGGCAAAATACCTTTTTTAAACCGAAGCTGAGCCATGTCATAGCGGCCGTAATCTCGCAGAAGCATCATCCCCCCAGGTTTCAGAAGCTTGCTCAGCCTGTTGATAGCCTTCTGCATCCTGTGGGGCAGCAGGGAATGACAATCAATCAGGTCTCCTTAAGGACAAGCTTTCCTTTCCCTATAGCATATCCCAAAAAATGCCAGTGAACTTTCTCCCCAACTGACACACCAAATCTAAGATCTAAGCTCCTCTACCCTTGCTTCAGTTAGAACTGAAGGACACCTTAGCTGCCTGCTCACAGCTGTGGCCTCGATCCACTGCTTTCAGTCTGAAGAGGGCCAAGGACAGCTTGCTTCTGCCCTAAGAAAGTTCTCTGCTCCAGGCCAGGCGCAGTGGTTCATGCCTGTACTCCCAGTGCTTTGGGAGGCTGAGGCAGGTGGATCACTTGAGGTCAGGAATTGGAGACCAGCCTGGCCAAAATGGTGAAACCCCATCTCTACTAAAAATACAAAAATTAGCCAGGCGTGGTAGTGCCTGCCTGTAGTCCCAGCTACTTGGGAGGCTGAGGCAGGAGAACTGCTTGAACCTGGGAGGTGGAGGTTGTAGTGAGCCAAGACCATGCCACTGTATTCCAACCCGGGCAACAAGAACAAAACTGTCTCAAAAACAACAATCCAGCTGGGGTCCTGCTATGTTGCCCAGGCTGGAATACAATGGCCAGAATCCTGGGCTCAAGTGATCCTCCTGCCTCAGTCTCCTAGGTAGCTGGAATTAAAAGTGTGAGCCACTATGCCTGGCTTGAATTTTAAATTTTAACAGTTGGTTTTAGTCCATGTTAATTTTTTAAAAGTTTGTAGTATTAAAACTTCTAAAGTTATGATTCTTGTTTTTTAGAAACAGGGTCTCACTCTGCCACCCAGACTACAGTGCAGTGGTGTGATCATAGCTCATTTCACTGCAGCCTCAAACTCCTGGGCTTAAACCATACTCTTGCCTCAGCCTTTTGAGTAGCTGGGACTACAGATACACACCTGGCTAATTTTTTAGTAGAGATGGGGGTTTTGCTTTGTTGCCCAAGCTGGTCTTGAGCTTCTGGCTTCAAGCAATTCTCCCACCTCAGTCTCCCAAAGTGGTGAGATTATAGGTGTGAGCCATTGTGCCTGGTAACTTCTGCAGTTATTAAAGTTTGAAACCATGGTAGACCTTTTGGGTTATCCTGCATATGCCTTTATTTCACACTCATCCTCTCAGGTTGGATGACTTCAGTGCCCTTCTAGAGGAACTGTGGCCTAGATAAGGTCAATCACTCAAAGCTCTTACCCTGTGCAGCCAGCAAGGGGTCCTTGGATACTAGCAGATAAACCAGAATCTCAATCACTGGTCCTTCCAGTCTTTAGTCATGTGATCTGGCTTCCTAACACCAGCTTACCTTGACCTTTTACACTAATTTATTTAATCATCCTTTGAAGGACTCAGTGTCAGCAAAATGAGATGTTTGAAATCTCTAATCCCATGATGTCATAGGTATAGTTTACCCTAATATATGCCAACTCCCAGCCTGTCCGGACTTCCTGCACTCTGGCAGTGACAAGGGCTTCCATGGAATTAGTCAATGGTGTCTGAATCTCTTAGCCACCATCTCATTCTGCTTCCTTGAGAAGGTAGTTTTAGCTAGGCACAGTGGCTCATGCCTATAATCCCAGCACTTTGGGAGGCCGAGGCGGGTGGATCACTTGAGGTCAGGAGTTCAAGACCAGCCTGACCAACATGGTGAAACACTGTCTCTATTCAAAATACAAAAAATATTAGCCAGGTATGGTGGTGTGTGCTTATAATCCCAGTTGCTCGGGAGGCTAAGGCAGGAGAATTGCTTGAACCTGGGAGGAGGAGGTTGTGGTGAGCCGAGATCTTGCCACTGTACTCCAGCTTAGGTGACAGTGTGAGACTCTGTCTCAAAAAAGAAAAGAGAAGGTAGTTTCATAGGACCACTGGTTGCCTAATTCATATAAATTTTTTTTTTCTCTTTTTTGTTTTAAAGACAGGGTTTGACCATGTTGGTCAGGCTGGTCTTGAACTCCCAACCTCAGGTGATCCGTCTGCCTTGGCCTCCAAAGTGCTTGGATTACAGGCGTGAGCCACCACGCCCGGCGGCATATAAGGTTTTAATGGTGTATTTTAGGAAATAGCATTTGACTTTCCTTTCATCTGAATCTGATTTTATAGAATTCTGTATCACACTTTTCCAAAAGACTGTAAGCATCAGAGAACACTTTAGTTAAGCTTCAATGTAAATTTTGTGTTGCTAATAAGCTTTATTTAAAGCATTTAAAAGGCCAGTAGGCAGGGCGTGGTGGCTCTCGCCTGTAATCCCAGCACTTTAGGAGGCTGAGGTGGACAGATCACAAGGTCAGGAGTTGGAGACCAGCCTCACCAACATGGTGAAACTCCATTCTCTACTAAAAAAAAATACAAAAATTAGCCAGGCATGGTGGCATGTGCCTGTACTCCCAGCTACTTGGGAGGAGAATTGCTTGACCCGGGAGGTGGAGGCTGCAGTGAGCCGAGATCTTGCCACTATACCCTAGCCTGGGTGACAGAGCAAGACTCAATCTCAAATAAATAAATAGCCAATAATGAGACATTATCTAAAAGCTGTGGCTCCCACAGTTCTAAAACAGCATGTGATGAGATTATCAACAGGACTTTCCCCACAGACTCATTAGAGACTGATTCTCCATTCTTTCCCAACGTTGAGCCACAAGAAGGAAATGACAATTGACATTTTGGGCTGGATGATAAAAAAAAAAAAGAAGGAAATGATGAACCAACAACTGTAGCCAGCAAGCAGAAGTTTCAAGGCCTGGAACACAGGTTGGACATCTAGACAAATTCAGGAAAATGGTTGAGATGCTCACATCACTACAAATGATGTGGCTACTTTGCGTGTATCAGAACATAAACAAAACTTTTTTTTTTTTTTTTGAGACGAGTTTCACTCATTACCCAGGCTGGAGTGCAACGGCGCGATCTCAGCTCATGGCAACTTCCGCCTCCTGGGTTCAGGCAATTCTCCTCCCTCAGCCTCCTGAGTAGCTGGGATTACAGTCACGCACCACCACGCCCAGCTAATTTTTTGTATTTTTAGTAGAGACGGGGTTTCACCATGTTGACCAGGATGGTCTCAATCTCTTGACCTCATGATCCACCCGCCTCGGCCTCCCAAAGTGCTGGGATTACAGGCTTGAGCCACCGCGCCCGGCCTACTAACAAAACTCTTTTTACTTCTAACCCAACTCTAATACCAAGGTCCCTCACCAGGCTGGGCATGGTGGCTCACACCTACAATCCCAGCACTTTGGGAGGCTAAGGTGGGAGGATCGCTTGAGATCAGGAATTCAAGACCAGTCTGGACAACATGGGAAAATCTCACCTCTGCCAAAAATACAAAAATTAGCCAGGCCTGGTGACATGTGCCTGTGACCACACCTGCTTGGGAAGCTGAGGAGGGAGGATCATTTAAGCCCAAGAGGTTAAGGCTACAGTGAGCCATGATTGTGCCACTGCATTCCAGCCTGGGCTGAGACAGCAAGACCCAATCTTAAAAAAAAAAGGTCCCTCACCAAAGCTTTTTTTTTTTTTTGAGATGGAGTTTCACTCGTTACCCAGGCTGGATGGCGCAATCTCAGCTGACCGCAACCTCCACCTCCTGGGTTCAGGCAATTCTCCTGCCTCAGCCTCCTGAGTAGCTGGGATTACAGGCACACGCCACCATGCTCAGCTAATTTTTTGTATTTTTAGTAGAGATGGGGTTTCACCATGTTGACCAGGATGGTCTCGATCTCTTGAACTCGTGATCCACTGCACCCGGCCCCAGAGCTTTCTTTTTGTGATACTACTGGCCAAGGGACCCAAACTTACTTGTCTGGAACAATTGCTGAAAGAACAAATATGAGAATGATAATATCGAGACTGCCCTCGGGTACTGGGTAACTCTTCTCTTCATCACACAGGTCGTGAACAAAGGCAAAACACCGAAAAGGATCATATTCTGAATTTGTCTGCAGATAGGTGGAAGAAAAAAAGCAAGTTAGAAAATATTAACATAGCCTAAACAAAAGGTGATCTTGCATTAAATGTAACAGCTGCAACTTCAATATTTCTTTTTTCCTTTTTTGAGACGGAGTTTCGCTGTTGTTACCCAGACTGGAGTGCAATGGCATGATCTCGGCTCACCACAACCTCCGCCTTCTGGGTTCAAGCAATTCTCCTGCCTCAGCCTCCCGAGTAGCTGGGACTACAGGCGCGCACCACCATGTCCAGCTAATTTTTGTATTTTTTTAGTAGAGACGGGGTTTCACTAAAACCAGGATGGTCTCGATCTCTTGACCTCGTGATCCACCCGCCTCAGCCTCCCAAAGTGCTGGGATTACAGGCTTGAGCCACCAAGCCCAGCTATTCTTGTGTACTTTCTATATTTCTCTTGCATGAAGTCAGATCTGAGAATTGGAAAATCATCATGAAAAGGGATTTCCCCAATAGGGAAAAGAAAAATTCATAAGGAGAGAGACAACACATACTTTAAAAAAGTATGATCTTCTAGGCATGGTGGCTCATGTCTAGAATCCCAACACCCTTGGGAGGCTGAGGCGGGAGGATCCCTTGAGCCCAGGAATTTGAGACCAGCTGAGGCAACATAGTGAGACTTCATCTGTACAAAAAGTAAAAAAAATGCTGGGCTCAGTGGCTCACGCCTTTAATCCTAGCACTTTGGGAGGTTGAGGCAGGTGGATTACCCGAGGGTGGGAGTTCAAGATCAGTCTGGCCAACATGGTGAAACCCCATCTCTACTAAAAATAAAAAAAATTAGTTGGGTGCAGTGCTGTGTGCCTGTAATCCCAGCTACTCTGGAGGCTGAGGCAGGAGAATGGAGAATCACTTGAACCCAGGAGGTGGAGATTGCAGTGAGCAGAGATCATGCCACCGCACTCCAGCCTGGGATACAGTGAGACTTTGTCTCAAAAAAAAAAAAAAAAAAAAAAGCCAGCTGTGGTAATGTGTGGCTGCAGTCCTAGTTACACAGGAGGTGAGAGAATCACATGAGCCCAGGAGATCAAGGTTGCAGTGAGCCTGACTGTACCACTGTACTCCAGACTGAGTGACCGAGATCCTGTTTCAAAACAAGCAAAATACACTATTTAAAACAACTTCTAATTATAAAATATTACACAAACCATAGAATTCTTCAGGAAAATCTATTTCTGTAGATGTAGAAAATTTAAATGTACTTTATTATAAAAAACTGAAGACAAGCTTCAATATTCATCTGGTCTTGAGCCACATGGATAATTCCAAAAAGATGGCACTACCAATTCCTAACCTGCCTTAACAGACACATTTTTTTTTTTTTTAAGAACGAGAGCCTCATTCTGTTGCCCAGGCTGGAGTGGTGTGATCTCGGCTCACTGCAACCTCTGCCTCCTAGGTTCAAACAATTCTCTTGTCTCAGCCTCCCCAGCAGCCGGGATTACAGGTGCATCTGCCATGTCCTGCTAGTTTTTGTATTTATTTATTTACTTATTATCACTATTTCTTAGGTGGAGTCTCACTCTGTCACCCAGGCTGGAGTGTAGTAGCACAATCTTGGCTCACCGCAACCTGTGCCTCCCGGGTTCAAGTGATTCTCCTTCCTCAGCCTCCCGAGTAGTTAGGACTACAGGTGTGTGCCACCATGCCTGGCTAATTTTTGTATTATTTAGTAGAAACGGGGTTTCACCATGTGGGACAGGCTAGTCTATGAACTCCTGGCCTTGTGCTCTGCCCACCTTGGCCTCCCAAAGTGCTGGGATTACAAGCGTGAGCCACTGTGCCCGCCTGTATGTATGTATGTATGTATGTATGTATGTATGTATGTATTTATTCATGAATGAGCAGGAGTTTCGCTCTTGTTACCCAGGCTGGAGTGCAATGGCAGAATCTCGGCTCACTGCAACCTCTGCCTCCCAAGTTCAAATGATTCTCCTGTTTCAGCCTCCCAAGTAGCTGGGATTACAGGTGTATGCCACCATGCCTGGTTGTTTTGTGTTTTTAGTAAAGATGTGGTTTCACCATATTGGTCAGGCTGGTCTCAAACTCTTGACCTCATATGATCCACTCACCTCGGCCTCCCCAAGTGCTGGGATTACAGGCGTGAGCCACCATGCCTGGCCAATCGTTAACAGACACATTTTAAGGTATCTGCCCTCAATGTCCATCTTCTCCAAATATGTGAGTTATTTCTCATTGGCCAAAGCTGATTCAAACAGGGCTGGTGTATTTATCAGCTGGGCTGTGTTAACTAGACTTTCCAGGGACTTCAGAACTGGGACACGGCCATTTTAGTGAGGCACCATGAACCCCTGAACAGGGTAAACTGGTAAGAGACTGGGAGGACCATCCACATTGGGGCCATGTGTAAAACCAGGAAAACTGACTAGAGAAGGCTGGTATGCAAAGAGGGGATAAAACAAATGGGCCGTGGGCAATGAGAGGTAAGAGGAACTTGAGCTGTATTTTGTGACCTTAGGTTCTATGACATTCTCCTTTATTGCTCTGAGTTTGTCTAGATGTTTTCATTAGTTGTAACTCAAAGAACCCTAATGGAATCATCTCATCAGGATGGCCTGAGCCCAAAAGTTCAAGGCTGCAGTGGGCTATGATTGTGTCACTCTACTTCAGCCTGGGCAACACAGTGAGACCCTGTCTAAAAAAAAAAAAAAAAAGATGAAGCCTGAAGATATGACTGAATTGCTGCAGTCTTGTTGCTGCCTCTTCTTTAGTCTTATTATTTATTTATTTATTTATTTATTTATTTTTAGAAATGGGGTTTCACTTTGTTGGTCAGGGTGGTTTTGAACTCCTTCAAGTGATCTACCCACCTCGGCCTCCCAAAGTGCTGGGATTACAGGTGTGAGCCACCACACCCGCCCTTCTTTCTTTTTTTAAAAAGCAGCATCCTTATCTGTAAGGAGTTGCTTCTTATGGCTGAGCAAAGATTGAGATCAAATCTACGCAGCTGAAGATGCTGTGAACATTGTTTTGCAATGGCATGAAACTCAGTTGATAAAGCAGCAGCAGGGTTTGAGAGAATGGACTTCAATTTGAAAGAAGCTCTACTGTGGCAAAATCCTATCAAACAGCATTGCATGCTACAGAGAAATCTTTAGAGAAAGAGCCAATTGATACGGCAGACAGTGTTACCTTATTTTAAGAAATTACCAGTCACTCCAGCCCTTAGCAACCACCAACATCAAGGCAAGACCCTCCAGCAGCAAAGATTACAACTTGCTGAAGGTTTAGATGATTACTAACATGTTTTAGCAATAAAGTATTTTTTTCTTTTTCTTTCCTTTTTTCTTTTTTTCGAGACAGTCTCTCTTTGCCCAGGTTGGAATGCAGTAGCATTATCTCGGTTACCGCAACCTTTGCCTCCCTGGTTCAAGTGATTGTCCTGCTTCAGCCTCTTGAAGTAGCTGGGATTACAGGTGCCCACCACCATGCCTGGGATAACTTTTTTTTTCTTTTTTGAGTTTTTTTATTTTAATATTTATGTGTATATATTTATGGGGTACATGAGATATTTTGATGTAAGCATACAATGCACAATAATCCCATCAGGGTAAATAAATGGAGTACCCATCACATCAAGCATTTATCATTCATGATACAAACATTCCAATTATATGCTTAGTTTTTTTTTTAATTTTTTTTTTTTTTTGAGATGGAGTCTCACTATGTCGCTAGGCTGGAGTGCAATGGCCTGATCTCAGCTCACTGCAACCTCCAACTCCCTGGTTCAAGCAATTCTCCTGCCTCAGCTTTCCAAGTAGCTGGAATTACAGGCATGCACCATTATGACCAGCTAATTTTTGTATTTTTAGTAGAGATGGAGTTTCACCATGTTGCCGAGGATGGTCTCAATCTTCTTTTTTTTGGGATAATTTCTTTTTACTTTAGTAGAGAAGAGGTTTCACCATGTTGCCCAGGTTAGTCTTGAATTCCTGACTTCAAGGGATCTGCCCACCTCAGCCTCCCAAAGTGTTGGGATGACAGGTATGAGCCATTGTGTTTGACCTACATTTTTTTTTTTTTTGAGATGGAGTCTCACTCTGTTGCCCAGGCTGGAGTGCCTGGCAACAATCTCAGCTCACCGCAACCTCCACCTCCTGGGTTAAAGCGATTCTCCTGCCTCAACCTCCTGAGTAGCTGAAATTACAGGTGCGCACCACCATGCCTGGCTAATTTTTTGTATTTTTAGTAGAGATGGGGTTTCACTATGTTGGTCAGGCTGGTCTCGAACTCCTGACCTGATGATCTACCCGCCTAGGCCTCCCAAAAGTGCTGGGATTACAGGCGTGAGCCACCATGCCCGCAAAATGTTCTTTTTAAAAAATTTTTGAGACCAACTCTATGCTGTTGCCCGGGCTGGAGCACAGTGATGTGATTACAGTTTACTGCAGCCTTGAACTCCTGGCCCCAAGTAATCCTCTTGCTTTATCATCCTGGTAGCCAAGACTACAGGTGCATGCCATCTAGCCTAATTTCTTAATTTTTCTGTAAAGGTGGGTTTTCACTATGTTGCCCAGGCTGGAGTGCAACTGGCACAATCAGAGCTCACTGCAGCCTTGAATTCCAGGGCTCAGGAAATCTTCTTGCCTCAGCCTCTCGAGTACCTAGGACTATAGGGGTACAACACACAGCTGGCCAATTTCTTAAAATTATACTTTTTTTTAGAGATGAGGTCTTGCTATGTTTCTCAGGCTGGTCTCAAACTCCTGTGTTGAAGCAGTTCTCCCACCTCAGTCTCCTGAGTAGCTGAGATTACAGGTGTGAACCGCTTGGCTATGAATATTCATAATGGCATCCAGAATGGTGAATCTTTTACAGAAGGTTTTCAACTTTGCCCAGATACATTAGAGGAATCCTATCTATGGTAACTATATCCTTATTAAATACATTTTAAAAATAATAAGTCTTGAAAGCCCAAATTACTCCTTGATCCATGGATCAGCATCTAAGGCAGATGCTTGGGGCTGCAGAATGTGTGCTGTGTTAGCAGGCATAAAAACAACATTAATCTCCTTGTATGATTCCATCAGAGCTCTTGGGTGACCATGTCCACTGTCAGTAAGCAGTTATATTTTGAAAGGAATCTTTCACCAGCTGCATTAGCCCCTAACAAGAGTCAGCCTGTACTTTGAAGCTTGGCATTGACTTCTCTCTAGCTATCAAAGCCCTAGATGGCTTCTTCTCCCAACAGACGGCTGTCTTGTCTACTGAAAATCTTTTGTTGCCGGGTGCAGTTACTCACACCTATATTCCCAGCATTCTGGGAGGCTGAGGCAGGAGCTCACTTGAGCCCTGAAGGCTAGGAGTTTGAGACTAGCCTGAGCAACATGGTGAAACCCTTCCTTTCACTTGAACACACAGGGGATACTGTAGAGTATGAAGTGGCCTAATTTTAATATTGTATCTTAGAGAACAGGGGGACCTGAGGAGAGGGAGAGAAATGGGGTAATAGCCAGTTGGTGGAGCAGTCAGAACACACGCATTTATTAAGTTGACCATCTTACACAGATGTGATTTGTGGAACCCCAAACCAAGTACAACAGTAACATCACTAACTATAACATACATAACAGTAAAAAAGTCTGAAAAATTCTGAGAATCACCAAAGCATGACACACAGACACCACCCAAGTTAGCATATGGAGAAACGGCGCTGGTAGATTTGCTCCATGCAGAGTTGCCACAAACTTTTAATATATAAACAGACACCACATCTGTAATGTGTGATAAAGTGAAGTGCAGTAAAACAAGGTATGCCTGTTATCAGTAAATCTTACTTTTAGACCTTAAGAACACAGACCATATAATAAGAACATAGCAGGAGGGCCAGGCATGGTGGCTCACACCTGTAATCTTAGCACTTTGAGAGGTGGGTGGATTCCCTTAGGTCAGGAGTTGGAGCCAGCCTGGTCAACAGGGGGAAACCCCATCTCTACTAAAAATACAAAAACTTAGCTGGGTGTGATGGTGCATGCCTGTAATCCCAGCTACAGCTAAGCCAGGAGAATCCAGGAGGCAGAGGTTGCAGTGAGCCAAGATGGCGCCATTGCACTCCAGCATGGGTGACAGAGTGAGACTCCCTCTCAAAAAAAAAAAACCCCACAGCCGGAGACCTTGATTTTTAGGAGACCCTTTTCCCTTTAATCAGTGGAAACTATTGATAGGAGCCATTGTACTCACCTGGACCAGTTCTATAGCCGTGGAAGAAAAATCACAGCAGTAAACAAAGAGTCCTGCGTCACTGAAATGGGCAGAAAAGACAGAACAATGAGACTACAAATCCAGCTATGTCTATTCTCCTTCTTGTGTAGCACAGTTAAAATATCAAATGGGAGACACTACCATGCAAAGAAACTATTATCTATTAGTCACAACACATTTCATTTTGGTTAAAATGATATGAATTTGATTTATGTCCTTTCAGAGGCACCATGGACATAGCTAAAATTAAGTTTATAAAACAACCAGTGAGTTTCAAATCAATGTCTTCTCTTCTTCCATCTATAGAAATCCTACTTTTCCCTCAAATGAAGCGTTGCTGGATAGTACCACAAGAATTTTTTTTATCTTCATTCTGAGCTACCTTGGCACTTTCTCCATGCCAGGAACACATCTGTACCTGTCTGCTGGCCCCCACCATAGACTGAGTGAGTGCTGTGACAGCAGAGATTACATCTTACACTTATTAGTTCACCAGACACTACTGAGGGCCTACTATGCATTGGTTATTATCAATGCTGAGGAGATAATGATGAAAACCACAAAATCCCTGTGCTTATTTTTCTCAGTATCCTCACAATCTAGCAAAAGTCTCAGCACAAGGTAGCAACACAAAAAAATACTGATTTAAAAACCATCAAAATTACTTCCAATTATGAAGCACATTATATATTTATTCTGAAGATGTCTATAATGCCAGAATTATTTTTGTCAGGACAGAGGTAAATAAAAATGGGAGAGGAGTAAGGCCGTATGCTTGTGTTTTAGAAACAACAGCCCAGAGCTGTTCTGCACTGTTGGGCTCATTCTTTGAGACTCTGGGATTTTTGGGAGAACACAGTACCTCCAGCTTCTCAAAGGCATGGGCTCTGGCTCCTGCTAAACTGTTGATGTTTACAGCAGACAACTTCCAGGAGGTATAATCAAGACTAAAAACTTGGGAAGTCATGGTGTTTGCTACGGTAATCACTAGCTACATGTGGCTATTTAAATTAAAAATCGTCTCTACTAAAAAATACAAAAATTAGTGGGGCATGGTGGCGGGTACCTGTAGTCCCAGCTACTTGGAAAGCTGAGGCAAGAGAATCTCATGAATCCAAGAGGCCTGAGTTCTATCAGCCATTCTAGGAAATTAATGAACTGGAGATGGGGCTGCCCCAATTTATAGCCTGTGGGGCAGAAACACAGAGAGCCAGATTCACAACTGGCACCTGAAGTCAGGGGGCAGTCTTGCGGGACTAAACCCTTAATTTTTGGGATCTGATATCAACTCCAAGTAGACAGTGTCAGAATTGAATTGTAGGATGCCCAACTATTGTTGAATTGGTCAGTGTTGGCAAAATCCCCACACATTTGGCGTCAGAAGCGTTCTGTTTAAGTACACAAAAACAGTGTGTTTTCATCAGAATAGGAGACATCTTCATGTATGTCAGCTTTCTCAACTCTACCACGGGGGTGATGACAGCTCAGCCGCTGACTGTTCCTCAGAGATGATGAGAATGGAAAAGTTGAACACATTTGTACCTTAGAAGAAGGCACTAAATGTTAACACTAGCAAGTTTTAAGTCTAATTTTCCAAATGATAAAGGTAATCACCTTATACATCAAAACATAAATTAAAACAATCCATAAATGAATAATGTAGAAATCTGACATAATTCGTATTTTCCAATAACCATTATTGATAGTTTGGTGCAGCATGAGTTTTGAAAAAAACTTTGCTGGGCGTGGTTGCTCACGCCTGTAATCCTACCACTTTGGGAGGCTGAGGTGGGTGGATCATGAGATCAGGAGATTGAGACCACCCTCGCTAACATGGTGAAACGCTGTCTCTACTAACAATACAAAAAATTAGCCAGGCACGGTGGCACACACCTATAGTCCCAGCTACTTGGGAGGCTGAGGCAGGACAATCACTTGAACCCAGGAGGCAGAGGTTGCAGTGAGCCAAGATTGCACCACTGCACTCCAGCCTGGGTGACAGACCGAGACTCTGTCTCAAAAAAAAAAAAAAAAAAAAGAAAGAAAGAAAAAATCTTTACTTTTTTTTCTTGCTAAATTGCTCTGGCTGGTCTTAAACTCCTGGCCTCAAGCAATCCTACTTTGCCTCCCCAAGTGCTGAGATTGCTGTCATGAAGCAATGCGCTCAGCCAACCTTCACTTTTATCTTCTTTGCTGTCATAAACTTTTACAATATACTTACTTATTTGTTTGTAAAATTGGAAAGACTGTGTTTCCCACACCACAACCAACCTGCAGACAGAAATGAATTATTAATCACAGAACCTTCCAGAGTTAATTCCCTAAAGCTAGAAAAATAATAAATAATCCACAACAATCTGGCCTAATTGTATTACAGAAGGTGTAATGACCAGAGCTAAACAGTACCCATGACATTTGTTGATTTTGATCTTGACTTCAGGAACCCTTAAAAGACAAGAGCATGGGTTTTTATTAGCAGAAAGGAGCTGGTCTAGAAAAAAGGGCATGGATTGCTTTTATCTTTTGAGTTCTAGGAAATGGTCCTATAGATGAAGTATTTTCTTACTGAGCTCCATTTTATTATTATTATGAAAATATTTGTAATAGACTGTGCTGGAAAATGTATGAAAAGGGGACCTTGGCAACCTTGTCCTAAACACAGAGCTGTGTGGTAATGAAGACAGCAACTATTTACTAAGGGCCAGACATCGTTCTTAGCCATTTTACATATGTTATCTCCATCCTCATAAATACAAGGTGCAGAGGCAGCAGTCACACTGCTCAGAAAGGGTAAGGAAATTGTCTAAGATCACACTATAGGAATCACTCTGAAGGCTAATCAGTTTTAGAACCAGCTTCCAGTTACCTGTGCAGTCCCCATTTGTGAATTTACATTATGATACCAACCTAGGCATTCTTCCAGGTCTAGACTGCAATACCACCCAAGATCAGAGGATGAGAATTCTCCCAGGCCTAAGACGCAGGCACCATCCTAACTACCCTCTCCGTTCCTATAACTGTATTAGAAGAGAAGCAACAATTTGTCTTCTCATCTGGGACTTTTTCTCAGGGTTATAAATAAGATCATCTTGAGCTCTTTCACCTGTATGATACAGTGGCATGTGACAGGTACAGCATGATGCTCTTAGTATGATTTTTGAAAGTGATATGGTATTCCCGGGTGATCCTGGTCCATCATGACCACCAGATATCTGGCCTACATTGAGGGCACTTTAACAGTTCAAAAATGGAGGTGATTCCAGGCCAATATAAGGGTCAAGTCTAGTCAGTATCATCCAACAGAAGTTACTTTTGTTGTCAGCGTCTCTATGCTACTACCTCATGTACACAAATAAGAGCTTCACATACTCTAGTACCAAGACAATAAAAGGTTACCTCAAGTATTCGGTAGGTGGCTGAGGATCCAGGAAACTCATCAGCACAAATTTCCAGGTCACTAATTTTCTGAGTTACATTCTCCTCCACAGGAGGCACCTGTGTTTTATGTTCAAGGCTCTTCGAAGAACACTTGTGCTGTTCTTCCATTATTAAAACAGGTCCATCCTCATTGTTTCTACATTCAGATATTTCACTCCTCTTGTTCTCCAAGAACCAATCCTTCAAATGATTTTGATTTTGGCTAGGTGCCAGCTCAGGGAATTCAGTAAAAAGCCAATGTCTATCCTTGAAAAACCCATTTTCGTGGATTTTGTAGAAGTCATTCCAGTATTTGTGGGCATTGATCTCATAATCAACTGCAAATATTTAAGAAAGAATTTTAAGAACCAGCTTTCAAATATTTTATTTATGTCTAATGTCAATTATCCTGCTTTACCAAATGTGACTTTAATACTAAAAGTATCCTCAAGAAGAGCCACAGTCCCAGAGTTGAAGCCATTTCTGAGCTCATTAGTTCTGCCATCAGCATTATACTTGAATGCCCCTATTAGTCATTACAAGAGAGTCTAAATTCTGTTTGGACAATCAACCAGAGAACTTATTACTTATCAAGTATCCTTGGATGACTTTTAACTTTAGATAAGTCATCTTTGGATGACTTTTAACTATTAAAAAATTCCTAAAAGTAAGCAAAAATCTGTCTCATCATTTCTGGCCAAAAGGTACTATGATCTTTCAGGGCTACACAGAACAACTCTTCTATTTGAGGACAGTTATTTTCCCTTCTAAATCTTCTCCTTTATAAACTAAATGTCCCAGTTTCTTCATTTGTTCCCCATGTAAATTCAATCCAGGAAGCTGTTCTTTAAATAAGTTCCTGTCTGTGGTTCTTTGGAGTGTACAGCCCAGAAAATAATTCTAATTAGTACTACTAATAGATACTAAACAATGGAAACAAGGCTAAAGGAAGATAAAATATGCTGATAAGAGGGAAAGTGTTTTCAGCAGAGGAAGAGTTTTGGTCAGAGGACAGGAGAAACTAAAAAAAGTATAGACAGTTTAAATGAAAGCTGTTTTGTTGTTTTTATTTTGTTTTTTTTGTTTTTGAGACGGACCTTTGCTCTGTTGCCCAGGCTGGAGTCCAGTGGCACGATCTCCACTCACTGCAACCTCCACCTCCTAGGTTCAAGCAATTCTCCCGCCTCAGTCTCCCGAGTAGCTGGGACTTCAGGCGTGTGCCACCATGCCTGGCTAATTTTTTGTATTTTTAGTAGACATGGGGTTTCACCATGTTAGGCAGGATGGTCTCCATCTCCTGATCTCATGATCCGCATGATCCTCCTGCCTCGGCCTCCCAAAGTGCTGGGATTACAGGCATGAGTCACCACACCCCAGCCCAGGAAAGCTTTTTTTAAGGTGATCATGACAGTCCTAGATTTCAGATTACTGCTCTTTGCCAATTCAGGGCCTTGACTAGTGTAGTAGAAAGAATAAAAGCCTAACAGATTGAGTGGGACAGTGGCCATGGAAGTTGGAGTCCACTAAGGAGTGTGCTAACAACTCACAACTTACCTGCTGAATCAACCAAAAGACTCCCTAAGAAATAGGATTTTAGTTCCACTACTGCTACTACTGACTGCTTACCTCTGGGAAAAGCACTTAACATCCTGTGGTCCAAGTGTCTTTAACTGTAAAAAGAGGACACTGAACCACATGATTTTCAAAATTCCTTTCAGCCCTTAACTTGCTTTGCTCTAGTTGCTGTCAAACTATGCAGGGTAAATGTTTTGTAACTGGAATCTTCTCATTGTACAAAACTCAGCGGGTACTAAATTTGTAGTTGTATTTTCAATTGTCTGGAACCATCAGTCCTAGTTTTAGTATCTATGGATATTTTGCAGTGAAATAATCCAAATCTCAAACAGGGGTCTCTTTTTCTTTGGCCAGACTTATCTCCACTCTGCTGCATCCACCTTTCCTTGACTGAAGCCCAAAATTCTCATAACCATCACACAAGTAATAGACACACAATCACCAGTCATTAGCCCCCTCTTCCAACCATATTTAAAATCTAATCACTTAAATGAAGCTTCAATGGAAACATCTCCTCATGGAAAGTGCAAATCATGTACAAAGTACAGGCTGTAGATGATAGGGTGACCACACTGTTGGCGACTCATATCAACGTGGGTCTGGTCAACTTAGTTAAAGGCAAAATTACCCTCCGAAGTAAAACTATATGTAATAAAACCCTCTACGACCTAACAAGATTTTGTTACAATGCAGCCCTTTTCCCTCCTTGCTCATCCCGTCCCCATCCCGCTCTACTCCTGAGATCTGCATCAGGCCAGTAAAAAAGGATCTTGGCGGCCGCGATTTCCTAGGCTCTCCGGGAGGGCGCGTTCAGTAGTACGCTGGCTATCGAAACCACTGAGAGCACATCTGAGCGCACCTTGCTTCTCCTGGCACACCCGCTGGGTACTGTTCTCCTGGACTTTTCTCTCCGCCGCTGCGGCTTGCTCTTCCGACCACTCCACATTGTCCCTGAGAAAATCAAACGGGCAGGTTAGGGGCCTCACGTCCTAGCTGCGGGCAGGGGAGTCGCTGGCCTCGGAGCTTGTCACTCCCCTTGCAGAGTGCCTCGGATAGGGCAGCTGGAATTGTGGCCGGCGGTCGGGGGCTTTTAGGAGTGCTCCGAGGCGGCGGGACAGAGGGAGAGTGACTGCGAGGCCAGGCGAGGGGCAGGGTGATTACCAGGCATTGTGGTGGAAGACGCGCGCTGGATCGCTCAGTAACCGGCTCCCGAACTGCTGCCTCTTATCGGCGAGGACTGCAGGAACACCTTCAGTGTAGGAGCTGGCCATGACACCGGAGCCGGAAACACTTTCCTTTCCGTAAAGCGAGAACTTCCTGCGGGCCACGCCCCCTTCTGGAAGATGAGGTGTGTGGGCGGGCAAAGAGGGAGGCGGGCAGGGCAGCGGTGGAGTCCGGTCCGGGTGGCGCTCGGGAGCTGTGGTGTGGGGCTGCCCCAGGATTGGCGAAAGGCTGTCTAGGGAAGGGGACCCACGCAGGGGTAAATTCTCCCTGTAGTCATTTCTCATTGATGACGTGCTGATGGACGTGCAGGCTGGGGAGAAAGTGGAAGATATTCCACTTGAGCCCCAGTTCAATGCTGGGATCCTCTAACAGATTCCCAAGCCTTCCCCAAGTTGAAAAATTGGAAAAATCTTGAATCATTATAAGAGTCGAGGCAACCTAGTTCCACTGTGGAGCTGATGTTCAGAATTGAAGAAGGTGGCAAGCAGCGGGAAGAAACAGGGCAATTGCCAGCTTCTATGGTCAGCTCTTCATAATGTGGGTGTATATGTATACACAGTGTGTATATATATTTTGGTTGGGGTAGGGGGAGAAGGCGATATGAAATTAATTTAGAGAACACGAAGCTTAGCAAATCAAATGGAATATCCAAGGACAAGATTTTTTTAAAAAAATTATAACCATCTAACCTTTTTGAATAATCCTTGTTCTTCTTCTCCTCCTCCTCCTCCTCCTCCTTCTTCTTCTTCTTCTTTTATTATTATTATTATTATTATTTTGAGATGGAGTTTCGCTGTTGTTACCCAGACTGGAGTGCAATGGCACAATCTCTGCTCACTGCAGCCTCCGCCTCCTGGGTTCAGGCAATTCTCCTGCCTCCGCCTCCTCAGTAGCTGGAATTACAGGCACACGCCACCATGCCCAGCTAATTTTTTTTGTATTTTTAGTAGAGATGGGGTTTCACCATGGTTGATTGAGCAGGTGAGTTGTGAGTTGTTAGCACACTCCTTAGTGGATTCCAACTTCCATGGCCACTGTCCCACTCAATCTGTTAGGCTTTTATTCTTTCTACTACACTAGTCAAGGCCCTGAATTGGCAAAGAGCAGTAATCTGAAATCTAGGACTGTCATGATCACCTTAAAAAAAGCTTTCCTGGGCTGGGGTGTGGTGACTCATGCCTGTAATCCCAGCACTTTGGGAGGCCGAGGCAGGAGGATCATGCGGATCATGAGATCAGGAGATGGAGACCATCCTGCCTAACATGGTGAAACCCCATGTCTACTAAAAATACAAAAAATTAGCCAGGCGTGGTGGCACACGCCTGCAGTCCCAGCTACTCGGGAGACTGAGGCGGGAGAATTGCTTGAACCTAGGAGGTGGAGGTTGCAGTGAGCGGAGATCGTGCCACTGGACTCCAGCCTGGGCAACAGAGCAAAAGTCCGTCTCAAAAACAAAAAACAACAAAACAGCTTTCATTTAAACTGTCTATACGTTTTTAGTTTCTCCTGTCCTCTGACCAAAACTCTTCCTCTGCTGAAAACACTTTCCCTCTTATCAGCATATTTTATCTTCCTTTAGCCTTGTTTCCATTGTTTAGTATCTATTAGTAGTACTAATTAGAATTATTTTCTGGGCTGTACACTCCAAAGAACCACAGACAGGAACTTATTTAAAGAACAGCTTCCTGGATTGAATTTACATGGGGAACAAATGAAGAAACTGGGACATTTAGTTTATAAAGGAGAAGATTTAGAAGGGAAAATAACTGTCCTCAAATAAAAGAGTTGTTGACCAGGTTGGTCTTGATCTTGTGCAGTGCTAGACATAGCACATTGGTTTCAATGTGATTCTCAAGTGATTCTCCTGCTGCAGCTTCCTGAGTAGATCGGATTAAAGGCATGTGCCGCCACACTCAGTTAATTTTTGTATTTTTAGTAGATAGGGAGTTTCACTATGTTGCCAGGGCTGGTCTTGAACTCCTGACCTAAATGATCTGTCTGCTTCGGTCTCCCAAAGTGTTGGGATTACAGGCATGGGCCACCTTGCCTAGCCAGTAATTGTTTATTCCATTGTAAATTCTTTCTGTAGGTAAAACTACGGGGAGCAATGAATGAGTCTACACTTTTCCCTCCAAAGAAATGGGAACAAGCTCTAAGCCCTCTCTAATCAGGAAAAAAAAATACACAAGTTAATTAAAAAGATAGTAAAGAACTTGTACTTCATTTGAAGACAATATGCTTTTGCCATTCTTGTGGTCTTCTGAAACATTTTGAACACAAGCTCCTTACCCAGAAACAAGTGCAAGGACTTTTTTATCTGTTCTCAAGGCCTGCTGTTTGCAGATAAGGTGATTGATTTACATTTATTTCTGGCATCTTGTTCTCTCATCTATGGGCTTTTATTCTTCCCTCACTAAAAGCTGTTAGTGTTTCCAATGAACAATCCCACTGAATCTTTTCTTGCAGACAGCTCATTGTCTTCACTTGAATTTCCTATATTAGTTCCAATAATTGAGAGACATTTTAAATGTCAAACAGCTTCAGCCTTGTTTGATGAAATGTGCTAAAGTATCCTAAACTTAATTTTATACAATTATTTTTATTGGCCTGTGCAACCTGTTTTTGTTTTTTGAAGCACCTAAAATAATTTTTCTGAAGTTTGACATGGCTGTGAGTTCTCTGATATTAGACTTTATGCTGGATTGTAGCTTCAGAGAACACCATGTTTCAGAGGAACTAAGGGTCCCTCTGGTGGTGAATAAGGAGAACTCTTCTAGCTCAGTGGTTAGCATGGGTTAAATGCTTGTAAAGGTTAAAAAACCTCATTCTGGATTATTGCTTTAGTAAAAACTCTCATTCTGGATTATTGCCTTTGGTTATTAGCCAAGGACAACAGTAGTTAAGTGTTTCCTGATTTTTTTTTTGAGACAAAGTCTCATTCTATTGCTCACGCTGGAGTGCAGTGGTGCAATTTTAGCTCACTGCAACCTCCACCTCCTGAGCTCAAGTGAGGTTCCTGCCTCAGCCTCCTGAGTAGCTGAGATTACAGGCGACCCCCACCACACTGGCTAATGTTTGTATTTTAGTAGAGATGGGGTTTCACCATTTTGGCCAGGCTGGTGTAGAACTCCTGATCTCAAGTGATCTGCCTGGCTGGGCCTCCCAAAGTGCTGGGATACAGGTGTGAACCACCATGCCTAGCTTTCTTTCTTTTTTTTTTTTTTTTTTTTTTAAGATAAAGTCTCGCTCTGTCACCCAGGCTGGAGTTCAGTGGTGTGATCTGGGTTCACTGAACCTCCATCTCCCCAGTTCAAGTGAATCTCGTGTATCAACCTCTGGAGTAGTTGGGATTATAGACACCTGCCACCACTCCCGGATAATTTTTTTATTTCTTTGTATTTTTAGTAGGGATGGGGTTTCACTATGTTGCTTAGGCTTGTCTGGAACTCCTGACCTCAAGTGATCTGCCCACCTTGGCCTCCCAAAGTGCTGGGATTATAGGTGTGAGCCACTGGGCCCTGCCAACAACTTTAATTTTAAAACAGCATTTTTCTTTCTTTTTTTCTCTTTTTTTCTTCCTTTTTTTTTTTTTTTGTGAGACAGGGCCTTGCTCTGTCACCCAGGCTGGAGTGCAGTGATGCAATCACAGCTCACTGCAACCTCTGCCTCCCAGGCTCAAGTGATCCTCCCACCTCAGCCTCTGGAGAAGCTGGGACTAGAGGTTTTTGCCACTATTCCCAGATAATTTTTGCATTTTTTGTGGAGACAGGGTTTCACCATGTTGCCCAGTTTGGCCTCAAACTCCTGGTCTTAAGGAATCAGTCTGCCTCTGTTTCCCCAAGTGCTCGGATTACAGACATGAGCCACTTCACCTGGCCTGTGTTTTCTTATTGGAAAATAAATGTTTATTATAGAACTGATAAGACAAAAGAAAATACCCCTTCCCGCCATTAATTTGACTCATTAACTCTTTGGTTTATGTCCACCCAGCCCTTTTTTCCTAATTTAATTATATAAGTGATCAGAACAGAATGCTCTGTGCTTTTTTAAAAAAATAATTATATTCATCCATTTTAAGTGTACAGTTCAGTACATTTTCATAAAAATCTATATTTGTGTATTCAGTATCATAATCTAGTTTTAGAACAACTCCTGAAGTTCTCCCGTACCACTTAGCAGTTGTAGTCTGCTTTTTAACTTAATAATATCTTGGGAATATTATTATTATTTTATTTTTTATTTTTTTGAGATGGAGTTTCGTTCTTGTTACCCAGGCTGGAGTGCAATGGCGCAATCTCGGCTCACCGCAACCTCCGCCTCCTGGGTTCAGGCAATTCTCCTGCCTCAGCCTCCTGAGTAGCTGGGATTACAGGCGCGCGCCACCATGCCCAGCTAATTTTTTTTGTATTTTTAGTAGAGACGGGGTTTCACCATGTTGACCAGGATGGTCTTGCTCTCTTGACATCGTGATCCACCTGCCTCGGCCTCCCAAAGTGCTGGGATTACAGGCGTGACCCACCGTGCCCAGCCCGGGAATATTATTCTTTGGTTCGAAATATTCTTTTACAACATCATTTAATGTCCTTCTTGTATTATTTTGTATAGCTATATCATGATTTATTGGAAATTTAGTTTAAGTTTCATGGTATTAAAAACTCAACATGGTGCACATCTTTGTAATCAAATCATTTTGTACATTCATGATTATTTCTTTAGGATTAATTTCTAGAAGAGGAATTGCTGAGTCAATGGTTATAATCAGCTCCATCACTATGCTCTGTGAGGTTAAGTCATTTTACCTGTTTGTTCACTGTTATATGTCCAGGTCCTAGAACTAGGTCTGGCACACAATATGCAACTCGGTAGATAACTGGTGAATGAATGGATGGATACTATACTAAATTCAGCAGAGATATACCAATTTATACTGTCATCAACAGTGTGTGACAATTTAATAGAAAGAATGTATTGCTGTGCATTTTAGATTTTCCAGGACAGATCTTACTCAAAAATATTCTGTCCTGTTATCCCACTGATGGAAGGAAAGATTCCAGGAATTCTAATATTTTGGCATCCAAATTATATCTCCTAGATTCCCTTTTACACCCATATCCATATGAAACAAGTC